TATATATTAAAGAAGAGTACATTAATTATATATGTGTGTGTGTGTGTATAATACACACACACACACTCTTACAATTAATGTATTCTTCTTTAACATTTTTTATATTAATATTATACAGGGGAGCTTCAATTTGGTACGGATGAGTCTACTTTTAACGCGATTCTTGTCCAAAGAAACATGGCACAGCTGCGACAAATATTCCAAGAATATCATAACATAACAGGCCATAATATTGAGGATGCGATTGAAAATGAGTTTTCGGGCGATATTAAGAAGGGTCTTCTTGCGATTGGTAAGAATGAGCTATAAATATATAAAAGAAAACTAGACACTACTACTAATATTACCGCTTATTAAAATAAATTTATTTTAAATAGTAAAGTGTGTCAAGAACAGAGCCGGTTTCTTCGCCGAACAGTTGTACAAAAGTATGAAAGGCATTGGTACGGATGATAACCGTCTCATTCGATTGGTTGTGACACGTTGTGAAGTGGATATGGGTGAAATAAAGAATGATTTTGTCTACCGATACAAAGAGTCATTGGAAGATTTCATATCTGTAAGTTATCAAATATAAAAATATCAAAATATAAAAATATCACATATTACATATTAATTCTCTTTTTCCTTCTTTTTTTTTCTTCAGGGTGATTGCTCAGGACATTATAAAAAATGCTTATTGGCACTAATACAGACATAAAATACAATATTTTCAATATGGAATTTCATATATGGAATTTCCGTGCATTTATCGTTCATTTTTTACAAATACGTATGTATATGAATGTTCAGCTCCTTCTCCTCTTAATTTCCAACAAATATGCCAGTGATAATGCAGATTTGTGCTTCGAAATATAAATGAATGTATTTTTATATGCAAAGTTATATGAAGATATTTTGGGATATATATACAAATACTTAATTCGGTGATTTTATGAAATTATTGACAATTATGTACAAAACAATGGCCATGTTGATGAAAACCAAGAATTTCAAATCGTATAATTACCTTTGATTTTATATAGATAAATGTGGGAGAAACATTAATTGCCTCGATTTTTTAAAATTATTAATAAATGCATTTAATTTTTACTTTTTATTCGTCAACATGTATAATTAGTTATAACTCTGAAATTAATCAGTGATATTATGAAACAAACTTTCATTATACATGTATACTTATACTAATTGACTGTGACTTACAAACATTGTGATCAAATGTTCCTATATAAATATATAAATACTTCTAAAATAACAATGGTAGTAAAAAAAAAAACTTTTAATGAAATTGCGTCAATAACATATAGTGCTTCGTAGTAAATCTCTATACAAACAAAATCTCATAAAAATCTATTGACCTTCTTCATATAATGAAAGTATTCATATATCTATATAAACAAATTTAAAGACAATGGCCATTTTATATATAAATGATATGCATAAAGATTATGTGCATATTTTGTCTCGAATGGCTTAATGAGTGGCTAAAAGAGGCATTCATTAATGAGGCTTAATGAATGGCTAAAAGAGTTCTGAAATAATTTTATATATATTCTACATTTTTATATAGAATATATATAAAACTATTTCAGAACTCTTTTTATATAAATACTACATTAAGCCATTCGAGACCAAATATATTTTACGTTGTATATTCAAGTTACATACATTATATTCAATTACATATATATGTATATTTCACTCATT